TGAGCCCCTAGGGTAAAGTGTAGGGCAGGGTTACTGAGTTCAGACAAAAAGCCTGGAAGCATATGTAAAAGCAAGTACTTGAAAAAAGTGTCTTTAATGTTCATAATTTTATACATAATACTTTATGAAAAAATTGGACTTTAAGCCTTCTTCTGTAGATGGGGCTCTTCCTCTCTTTATTTAGTTCTATTGGAACAAAAAGGGGTAACTTGATAAATTACTTTTTTAGCTAAATTAAAATCTTTGGTGGATTTTTTTGGTCTTAGTTCTCTGTCATGAATGAAGTTTTGTAAAATAGATTGTTGTATGACATGTCCCAAGGATGTATAAAATATTTCAGTTACAAAGAGCTGGCAGTACTGTTTATCACAGATTTTTTTTTTCATAATAGAATGTTTTGGCAAAGTTGGCAATTAAGAAAATTCTGTTGACTTCATTTAAAAAAATTGGAGATAGGTTATTATAGAAAATTTTTAGGTAATACGGGATAGTGGGAGAGTTCTGCCTGTTTGTTGGAAGATATGGATTTAAGTCCCAGTTCTGCTGCAATTTTTCTGTGCAACCTCGGACAAGCCAGTGAGTCTGACTGACCACTAGCCTGCTCATCTCTAAAATGAGGGAGTTGGGCTCGATGACCTCTGAGGGGACTCTTACACCAAAGGATAGAAAATCCCAGGGTGTAGACCCCCCCACTGGAAAGGATCCTCCCCTCCCCCAACTCTCCTACAGAAGTAGACTTGCAGCCTAGCCCCTCTGAGGAGAGGACCCAGAGAACTCCCCTGATTAGTGTAAGTAACCAGGATTGCTCCTGGATGATAAGAATGACTGAGGAGCTGGAGTATGAGCTCCTTGAGGCAAGGTCTCTGGTTTTTTGCCTTCCTTTGTATCCCTGGTATTTAGCACAGTGCCTGGTATATAGTAAGCCTTGAATAAAAACTTGTTGATTGAGATTGAGAAGGATGGCCACCCCTTCTGCCTTCCATACGAAGCAAAGGGCCCATCCCGTACGCCCTCCTTTATTTTTTCCAGCACGGTCTCTGTCCTCCTCCCAGGCCTGACAGCAGCAAGGGGCAGAAGGTGTTTATTTTTAACATTCACTAGATGGAAATACCATACTTTATAATATTCCTCTGCTTTCCTAAACTGAAAGCAAGAATTTAATGAAGTTAATATGAAGTTGGGGTGATTTTCTTGTCAGCATTAATAATGGTTTGAGGAAAAATTACAAAGTCTTTAGATATTCTTGTTTTTCTGTTACATTTTTTGTTGTGTCTTAGACACATATCAGAGTAATAATATTTTGTCTTTTCTGGAGTCGAGCATTTTGAAATTCCTGTTTACCCTGCCTACAGTGATATTGTTGTATTTCTCTTAGGTATGATAATCATAGGGAGGCTCTGCTTAAAAGAGGAGCTGACGGAGATTATCAAGATGACAGCTTAGATCTGCTACACTATTTTACTGTCACCTGTTATTCTGGGTATGAAGATGATGAAAAGGTAAAGCAAAAGTTTCATCTTAATATCTTTATTTCACACCAAGCACTGCTGTAGAAAGAGTCTGTAGGAATGTTTGAGGCATGCTGCTATAGAAGGAGAATAAAATTACTTCAGTTTGACAAATAGAAAAAAAATCGCCTGAGTATTTTAGGTTTGCAGCCAGTGATAAACATTTAATCAAAATCATCTTGCTTGTGAGTAATACAGCAGTAATTATGTCCTGGGTCCAGGGTATATTTATACTGTGTTGGATGCACTTTTTTTTTTGTGTGTGAAGCAATTAGGGTTAAGTGACTTGCCCAGGGTCCTATAGCTCGTGTCAAGTGTTTGGTCTGAGGCTGGATTTGAACTCAGGTCCTCCTGACTTCAGGGCCGGTGCTCTATCCACTGTGCCACCTACCTGCCCCTTTGGATGCACTTTTATGGGCTTTGGAAGCTGGGGTTGGTTTTGGTTTTCTTATTTTGAAACATTGGTGATGTTTTTCACATGAATATAATAATGATCTTGTTCTGTAGCTGGAATAGGAAAACAAATACAGATTTTGTGTCCTAGTAACAACTGTTTCATGTTTCAGGGCTTCTATGCAGTGTACCGTAATGTTTTTGAAATGATTGTGAAGGAAGAGTTAGAATCTAGGGTAGAGGACGACCTTGAAGAATTCCCAACATTTGGAGATTCCCAGAGTGATTATGATACGGTAAAAAGGCCTCTTTAAAAAAACTACTCACTAGTTTATAGTGTTGATTTTGTAACTAATCTATTAAAGCTAGTTTCTGCCTTTCTGTTGTCTCCGTTTTCACATCTTTTCCTTGTTTTCTATCCTCATGTTGTTTCAGTGTCTCCTTTTTGCCTCGTAGCTTTTTTTCTTCCCTTTTTGAATAGTTGCTTATTTGATAAAGATTTTCATGATTTTCCTTCCTGTCCTAGGAATGATAATTCCATAGAGTAAAAACACAGCATAGAAACATTTTGTATCACTTATCCAGGTGATAATGTTTGCTTCTTTCTTCCTATAGGTAGTCCATCCATTCTATGCTTATTGGCAGAGTTTCTGTACTCAAAAGACTTTTGCTTGGAAAGAAGAGTATGACACCCGACAAGCTTCCAATCGTTGGGAAAAGCGAGCAATGGAAAAAGAGAACAAAAAGACCAGAGACAAAGCAAGAAAAGAGAAGAATGAGTTGGTTCGTCAGCTAGTGGCTTTTATTCGGAAAAGGGATCGAAGGGTTCAGGCTCATCGAAAACTTGTGGAAGAACAGAATGCAGAAAAGGCCCGAAAAGCAGAGGAGATGAGGAGGAAGCAGAAGCTAAAACAGGCCAAGTATGGCTTTGTCTTCAGCTTTTTTTTTCGTTTGTTTAAATAAGTATCAAAGAATTTAACATGAATCATGATGGCTTCCCCTTGGGTCCGATTCCTTAGCATTTACGCACATTTGTTCTGTTTTTTTGACAGCAGATTTTTTTTCATATGATGTCAAAATAGAAAAAAAAATAACAATTTTATGTTGGCGTTATTTTGCCTGATTGGTCTTTATGAATGACTTGTGATTTATTTTAAGATTCTTTGGTGTAAAATGTAGAACTCTATTTCTGATTGAGAGGTAGAGTGACATAATGAGTAGCTGGCTTTAAATATTGATAACATAAGTTCAGTTTTTCTTCTGCCATTTCCTGGCTGTGGAACCCTGGATAAGACCTCTCAAGGTCTCTGAGACTCCTAAGTTGTAGGGCAGATGCCCATTTGCACGTGTGGAGGGAATTTCCTTCCTAAGGAGTTCTCTGTTCCAGTGACATTACATCAGGGCAAGACTAAAAAGAAAATTTCTAATTATAAAATGGGCCCACAGTATAGATAAATATTCAAATGATTTTAATTTCTACAAAGTTTTGTTATTAGAAAGTTGGGACAAAATTGGTGGATTCATAGTTGACATAACTTTCTTTTCTTTTCTGTTGTTGTTTTTTTGTGAGATAATTTACCCCATTCTACCTCTCCCTTTCTTCTTCTCCTAGTATA